TAAGTATATATCTGAATAGTGAGTTCATTAGTCCTATTGAATTAATTTGGCAATTAGGAAATTGATTTTGGGATTAGAAAGTTCCAAAGGATTTTTTCTTATGCCTGATCAGTGTAGGATAAATTTCAGCCTTAAGAGTTTAATTGAGGACATGAATTTTATTTTCTCTTTATATAATAAATCGAGAAGTATCTAAATCCTGCTTTCAGATAGGAAGATGGCTTAGCAAACATTATCACGCTTTTTTAAGGTTTACTACATTTTTCAGCCTTTGCTTTCTTAATTGCAATTCTTTCAAGTTATGATAGTTAAATATGAAGTTGATGGACTGCAAATGATAAGGTGGAAACTCGGCTTGGCGATTCTAATGGCATCTCATCATCTGGGATTAATTGATCATGAGTAACAGGTTGGAGGGATGGTCACTGTTGGAGAAAGAGACTGCCAACTTCAAAGGTGGTCACATAAAACTTTTTCTCTGTGGTTGGTTGCTGTGATGTATCTATCATGCATTGGCAAGATGACGTAAGTATCTTGCTCTACCATCTATAATGCAATGAAATTCATTGAAATGGAGAACCCTGATGTCACCCCTGGAAGTAACAGAGGGAGAGTAAGGTACTTACTGACAACTGGTGGACTCTTCCATCAACATGCTGGTTTTGGGGTCCACAGACAGGAGTGTGAACCATTAAGAAGACAGATGTGAGAACTGATACTTTAAACATGTGAACACATGAAGCAACTAACTGTTCAATCTCTGGGGTTTCTTAAAGTTAACACTTTCATGATACTGGTACAACTTGATATCAGATGGGGAATTCCCCACTGACTAAAAAGATTCACCAGTACTTAAGCAGTAATAACCCTATCTTACTTCTCTGCCAACACTACCTAGGATTACTGAGTTCAGCAACCTACTGTTGCTAGCAGGGGCTGCCTCCCATCTGGCATTGCATACCAGACACGGACAGACATAGTTCACTCGGGGCCAATCTTAAGGCCTGTGCTTCGTATGCACTACCATCCAGTCAGTGAGCAAGTTGAACTGTACCCTAAGAACTGAACACTACAAGAAAAGTGCATTTTGGAACTACGCAAAGCCAGCATATGGAGAGGGAGCCATAACAGGGCAGCTGAAGATGATGGATGTGGCATGCAAGTACTTGGATTGGGAGCGGGTTATGCATTATAAGCTCAGGTATGTCCTCCTTTTAAGGTGAGAGGAGAAGGGATCTTACGTGGTCCATGTATCACCCAAGGAAAGGGGCCTGGGATGGGCACCTTGTTTTGCAAAATTGAAAAGGGATCTCCATTTTCTTTGTGGTCTCTCCTGGATAGTGGAGCTTAAGCACGAGGTCACAAAGATGGGCAACTTCTTTGCCCACGGAGTATATGGAACATGGACTGACTCACCCACTGGAGAGGAGTCTCAGTGAAGAAGTCTTGTAGCTCACTCCACATTTTAATAAAAAGAAAACTCCCCTACAAGCAGACTCCAGCCCTGAAAACCAATCAAGTCAAGGGCAGCAGAACCCCACTATGAACCTCGGGATGAAGACTGCTTGTGTAATCTGACTTTCGTCTGACATTGAGGACCAGGTCATCCACCTGAGGTATCACTGAATAAACCAAATTTATTTCCCTAACAAATGCTTGGTACAGACTATAACATTCAGTCTATCAACAAATTTGGCTATGCCCAAGTTGACTGTTCCAAAAGGCCCCAGGGTTCCAAACATTTAGCCAGCACGGACCCTTTCTTACACATCCTCTTGATGTGGCATTTCCACATCAGTGTTTATTGACAACCAAAGTCCTGCTTCTTCCCATCAGTGGCCAGAGATTGGTTGCCTGTCCAGCCAGAGATCTCTCCTCCTATACATGGCCAGTTGCCTTTCCCAGCCGCTTTTATGGAGCCTATATGACCATCATGATGGCTCCAATTTTACACATGGTTTCACACAGTATCCATTCTGGATACAATGGAAACTGTAGAACTATGTGTCAGATAAAGATGAATTTTGTTGTTCAGTTGTTTCAGTCGTGTCTGACTTGGTGAACCAATTTGGGATTTTCTTGGCAAAAAAAACAAAACTGGAATGGTTTGACCTTTCCTTCTCCAGCGCATTTTACAGATACGCAACTGAGGCAAACAGGGTGAAGTGTCTTGCCCAAGGTCATACAGCTAGTAAAGTGTCTGAAGCTGGATTCGAACTCAGGAAGAAGACTCTTCCTGACTCCAACATTTTATCCACAGCACCACCTAGTGGCCCAAAGATGAATTGCAAAGAGCCAAATTTAGGCTTAACTGTCAGACAAACTTTCTAACAATGAGAGCTGCCCCAAAATGGAATGGGCTGCCTGCCTCTTGCTGGAAGGTGTTAAAGGTAGATGACTATTTGTTTGACAAGTGGAAGAGGAGATTCTTGTTCAGGTACAGGTTGTACTAGTTAGCCTTGACCCCTGTTCAGAGATTATAGGCCCCATTTGAAGGAATGCCCCCATCTTCCTTCAGCAAGATTAGTTTAGTGAATTTAGACGACTTTGAAAATGGGTAGAGAATATGTGGGGGAGGGGAAAGGGCTCTGCATCTGAGTTGGAGGACTTGGGTTTTAATCTTGACTCTGTTGGGTATGTATGATCTTGGGCCAGTCATCTGACCTCGCTAAGATAGAGTTTCCCTTCTCTATGAGGGGTAGAGGAGACATTTGTGGTCCTTGGGTCTCTAACCCCATGCTTCTTTAGTTCTGGCCCTGGCTTTTATAGCATCCATTTCCCTCATTACTCTCCAGTCACTGGGGGCTGTAATTAAAGTTTATATAGATCAACAACTATTCACTAATTGCCTTTGCAGAAGGCTGAGTACTCAGTAGGGATAGAAAGCAGACAGCAATTCCTCATGGAGCTGAGGGTCTAGTAGGGAAATATCATTCTCTTAACTACAATACAAAATAAAAGGTGAATGAGGTATAAACATGGTGCTATGGAGATTCTGAGGAAGGAAGGACCTTTTCCAATTGGGTTCTAATCCAGCAAAGCTTTATGGAAGTGGCGTCTGACCTAGGCTTGAAAAGAGGTGAGACTTCAAAAGGTAGGGGAATTCTGGAGATAAGTAAGGTATAAAGGCAGGAAAGCAAGGACATGTTCAGAGGATAGGGAACTTTCCTGTTTGGCTGGAGCTAAGAGTCCACCATTAATGGGAGTCAAGGCTGGAAAGGAAGAATGGAACTGGACTGTTAAGGGGCCTAGCTGTCAGTGTGTGGAGATTCAGACTTGTAGGCAATGGGGAGCCACTGACAGTATCTGAAGAGGGAGAGACATGATTCAGTCTGCCTATGAGGAAGATAAATCATGTTCAGGAGAAAAAAATAACAGCAATAAAATATATTAAGTCCACAGATTAGAAAATGGATAGAAAGGAGACACAGAGGCAATACACATACATATATACATACACACACATATATATGCACATGTATATACACATATGTATAATTTAACACACTATAGTTTTGAATTTTACATACAATTCTTATTTTATTTGATCTTAGAGGTTGGTTTATTTAAAAATTTTTTTAATTATTTAAGGATAGTTTCTGAGAGTCTGAAGGATGCAAGCAAAATTATTATAAGGCTACTACAGTAGTCCAGGCCAGATAGCATGAGGGTCAGAACTAGGGTTAGGTTTGCCTTGGATAAATGCAAGACAAAGTAGAGTGAGAAGAGGCAAATCCCAGCAAATCACTGGATACAGAGTTGACATTCGGAGTTTGGATGGGGGAGGGGGGGCTCCCACAAGAGAAATAGGAAAGTCAGGAAAGAGGAAGATGGCTTTATGTGAGAAGACAAGTCCAGTTCTAGACATGCTGAGATTGAGGTGCCACACAACCCTGGTGGGACTGTTGGAAATAAGAGAAAGGAGTGACCTAGTACAGAAGTCACCAGTTAAGCCACAGGAATGAAAGAGGCTGCTAAGGAGTATAAAGAGAAAAGGACAAAGGAAGAACTCTGGAGGGATGCACTTAAAGAACAAGAAGAGGAGGAGGAGATAGGCCAAAGGAGCCTCAGAAGCAGCAGTCAGGGAAAGTGTCACAGCGGGAGAGAGTGAGGGTATCGAGGGAAAAGGGGGGTTAACAGGGTCCACCCCAACACAGATGCCCAGGCCAAGACCGAGAAAAGGTACGTGAGAGACTTCTGACTTGCCAGGGTACGATGAACCTCTTCAGTCCCTACAGCGAGTTGTTTATATCTATTATTTCTTGCTCTATCTGATATCCTGATCTTACCTGAAGAAAGGTCAACCCACATCTCCAAGCCACATGTGTAGCCTGAAAACAAATGTGAAGAAATCAAATTTCCAAAGTATTTGATGGATTGTATTGATGTTGTGATTAAAAGTAACATTAAGTCCTCTGAAAATAAGTGTCACAAACAGAATAAATAGTATAATTTGTCACTTCTAGTCAGTACAATCAAGGAGATCACTGAAAAAATAATACCATAGGGCATCTTCAGTTAACACTGATTGGAAATTGGACTGTCCTTGATTCAGCAGGACTCCCAATTTTCCCCCTAAACACAGTGCATAGGACACAGCATGTTAGAGCTAGAAGGAAACTTTGGAAACAGAATACAAGTCCAAGAAGTCAGAGTTCAAAAGGACCTTGGAACATGGAACATCAGAGAGGGAAAGGAACCCAGAACACAGGGTGTCAAAGCTGAAGGGAGTCTAGAGATCACTCTGTCCAACCAATTAATTTTACAGAGCAGAAAACTGAGGCCCCGACAGAAACAAGGGCTAGAATTAGAGCACAAGTCTCCTGACTCCCAGCCCCACCCTCTCTCCCAGCTGACGCCTCCATCGCCCTGGACAGCTACAGCTGAAAACGACCAGCTGCCTCAGTCCTACCTCCGGAGCAGATCCAGGCACCAGGTTTGCCAGCCACTGCTTCAATGGCACTAAATTTACTTATGGAAAACCACTGATAGAGCATCTGACCTTTCATCCACGTTTTATTTTTCACTTTAATGTGCAAATAAATACAAAAGGAAACTACATTCAAAACAGCTGAAAGGAAGCACAAGGCCCAAAGCAAAGATGCGAGCAGAGATGGGGTACTGAGGCCATAGGCGGCCTGTGCCTGCCTTCGGGCCTGCTCCCTGGGCCTCTCTGTTTCTGGTGGCCATGACTTTCAGAGAAGTGCCTGAAAGCAGGTGCTTGGAAGGGCTGATGGCCACTGAGTGGCCTAGGGAACGTCTTGAATACAGATTATAAATTAAGTTTCTTAGAAAAGAAGGATGCCTCCAAAGATAGGAAGTTTACTTACAAAGACAGTGGCAGAAGACTGGGCAGTGTGCGTAGATGCAGCGGCCTCCACGGCGCTAGGGGCCTAGCACTAAAGGCATCTGAAGCCAAGAGTTGCAACCTAGCATATCTCTAACCAACACTTATCTGTATTTGAAAATCCTAATAAAGTTTGGCACAATTGGTTGTCTCTGCAACAGGAGGCAGAGAGAACTGAAGAACAAGACTGAGGTGCATCTGTGAACTGACAAAGAAGTGCTGGTCACTTCCACGACCAGCACCAGCTGATCATTTTCTGTTCATGACTCAGACAGGCCCAGGGCTTGCCGAGATGTAAGCAACATCTGAGAAATTATACTCCAGTCCATCCTTCCACTGGTAGGCATCTGAACCCTGCTGCCAAAGCACGAGGACTAGCCGTGCTTTTCCGTCACTGCTTTCTTCTCAGAGCAGAAAGGAGAGCTTGGTGACTGACCAAGCCAGCGACTTCAGCTCATGTTGCTGTCACCAAGCCCTGGAGTGAGAGCCAATGGACACAGAAGGAGAAAATGCAGCATCCGTCCTCCAGGGAGGATTCTTGTCCTGATTTTTGTAGAAGTTACAACCATAAAACAACAGCACAAAATAATAAATAGACATTTCTACAGCTTTGCTTAGGTATACGACTGCATTCCCAGAAAAGCCTCCCCAGCACTGCGGAAGAGGGGCAGGTGCTCCATGCCCTGGCATTCCTACTTTCCTCCCTTCCAATGGCTTTAAATTTAGCTTTTAATAGCGGCATGTTGATCAACAGGCCTGGCCTCTTCACCTTTGAAGGCCAATGTTGACATCTGCCACTTGATAAAGCATGATGGTAACAAATGGGGCTCCAAGGGTTTCAGCCATAGCTCATCCTTGATCCCACAGGATATCAGTTTAACTGAAAGGCACTTCTCTCACTTTCCAAGTGATTGAATGCCTCTGGGGACTGGATGGTGGCCAGATGGAGCCTTATAAAAACCAACGGGCCAAATCAAACTTCAGTTTTTTTCTGGGCTATACTTCTGTGATTGCAATCCCCTGGGGAATAAACAATGGCGGGGGGGGCGGGGGTCCATCTGAGATGGCACTAAATAGATCAAGTGCAGGTCCTTCAACACAGAAAGGCATCCACTGACCCCAAGGGTCTCTAATGAATGCTTGGCATGGCCAGTACCATTTAGTCTATCAACAGATTTGGCCATCTCCAAGGTGAGTGTTTATGCCATAAAGTTCCAGGTCTCCTAACATTCAGCCATTATGACAGGCCCTTTCTTACATATTGTTTTGAGATTTGGAGTCTCCAATACAGAAGCAACAACTGCAAATGTGTTCATCGACAAGCTAAGTCTTGCTCCTTCCAATCGGTGACTAGGGGATGGGTGCTTGTCCAGCCAGAGATCCTAAATGGGGAAGCTATACAGGTTTGGCACACGACACAACCTGACAGGTGGTTTAGAAGAAGGAAAGCAGCAGCCAAGGGAGGTCCCCATGGATGCCACAAAGCTGGTCAGGTCCAACCACAAGGAGACACTGATCCAATCTTATACTCTTTCTGGCACCCAACGGGCCAGACCAGCTTCAAAGCTGTACAATGTCTCCTAGTGTCAGTTTTGGATGGATCTGAGGCTGAAGAACTGAATCCGAGAGAAATCTCCAATCTGATTGTTTTAGATCCAGTCATGAAAATATAGGGTGATACTGCAAAGGAGACAACGATGTTCCATATGAAAATACATAATAACCAATCTTGAGTAAAATGCCATTATGATAAATACCAATAATACACACATTGCATTCCCATCACTCTTTTCAAGAGTCCAAGTGTCAGTGACATCTGCCCCTCCTGAGCAGTCAGGGAGAAGCAGGGCGGCGGCTGTATTGCACCCGGTACCGAGTCACGGGGAGGCCGTGGATAGTCACCGTCTCACAGGTTGTCTTACATGGCACCATGTCTTCATCCTCCTCTCCCATCAACCAGTCCTGGACCAGCTCTGCAGCCTCTGAGGTGACATTGTCCTCCAGCCAGCGGCTGTGCCACTCTTCAAACTGCTGGTGGTGCTTCAACAAGACGACCGGCTGTACCTGAGGGAACAAGCGAGGGCAGAGAGCCTGTGATCAGGAGAGGCAGGCTCTGCAGAGGAGGAAGAGGAAGGGGGAGAGAGCCCCTGACCAAAGGGAGGCACAGGAAGAGGGCAGGGGAATCCTAGGGCATGACCGTACCTGCTGAGCCCGGCAGAGCGTCCCTCGGCGGTACATGTAGTCCTCCGAGTTCATGATGAACACCATCTTGTGGGTGGTGAGCTTGAAGCGGCAGTCAACGTTGCAGGCGCTCTCCACGCCAACGAGCCTCTTCCAGGAGCTCTTCACCTCGCTGCGGAGGGCTCGGACCTGCTTGCTTTGCCACTGGCGGAACTTCTTGAGGTTTCTAGAGTAACAAGCAAGCCAGTGAGCATCAGGATAGGAGAGAAAAACAAAAGGTAGACCGAGGACCTGGAGAGAGGGAAGGGAGCTGACATTAAGGTAATTCACCCCAGAGAACGGCTACTCTCTTGCTAACTTCTGGCCTGATTGCTGAGAACAGTCACCTGTTAATTCCCTCTGACAGCTCCTGTCAGCACCAAAATCTAGCCATGAAAGTTGTCAGAACCGCAGCATTCTGGAGGTGGGAGACATCAGGGTCAACCGGTCCAAGCCTCCTCCCCGGCAGAAATGCCCTCTATGACATCTCCAGTGCTTTAAGAGCTCTGCTGACAGGGAGCTCATGCCATTCTTTTGTCAGACAACTCTTTTTTAGAGTTCTCTATCAAGGCAAAACAAAGCTTACTCTCAATTATCCTCTCAGTCTGCACTAAGTCTAATGCCTCCTCACATGTCAGTCCTTCAGATATTTGGAGACAATGATCAGGTGACCTACTGAAGTCTTTTTTTCTCCAAGTTAAACAAACATCTCTAGTACTTTAAGTCAAGACAAGGTTTAAAGTCTCCCCTGTTTCCTGGTTGCCCCTCTCTGAGATAAAATTCCAGCCTGTCAATTTCTAAAATGTTCCTGTTTGAGCCTATTGCCTGACTAACCTAGATGAGTATGGAGGGGGGATAGTGGGTCCAGACATGGACCAGGGAAGTAAGTCACGGTGTGTGGGGTATGAGGCGGGGGATGACAAGGAGTCACTATAAAAGCCTAAAACTTTGGGGGGATGGGTTGAGTCACACAATGTTTCATGCTATTAACATGCCCCATAAATTTTGCCACACTGACCCACTACTGATTCTATCCTCAATCTCTGCTCCTAAATGTGTTTTCCCTGCTTATGTCAGCTTTCTGAATTTTTTATACCTTGAAAAAACCTTGGTCCCAAACAGCCTGGCCTTTTAAATGTGATCAACTCCAGATGCCGACCTTATCCACTCTCATCCACAAAGGAGACTGAACTCTCTCAGGGCTAGGCCCAAGCTGACCCCGACACAACATCCAGAAGGAACACAATGCAGCCTCCATATGTGGTCTGATCAGGGAAAAGAGCAGGGGGGCTACCATCTCCTTTGCTCTGGATGTTTTCCTTCGCTTCATAAATGCTGGAACTGCTTTAACATTTTTAGTAGCCCATCACACTGTGGACCCTTACTAAGTTTGTGGTCTTGGACTAAGATTCCTAGGCTTCATCACAGTAGATAAGCTAAGCAGGTGAATCCCAGAAGAAAAGCTAGTCCAAAATCCTCCCCTCTTCCCATAGTCACAAAGAAACAGCCAAGCTAGGAATCCGGGGTGATTCAGAATGGGCCAGAAGTGACTGGTGACTGAACTTACCTCTGCAGAAAAACAGGTTTCAGAAGGAAGCCATCATTTGGTGGATTCGGTGCTCCCTCTGTACCCACGTACTGCTCCATGTAATTGGCTAAGTGCTACAAAAAAAGTGAGACTCAAGATGCATTTCCTCTCCTCATTTAATGATGAATCACAAAGTCAGACTAAACCACATTATGTCTCTTCTTTATTTGAAGAACTGCACATTGTAATCTATATCGTGTGCAATACATCCAGCAAAAAGCAAACAACCTCTCTGTCCAACAAGAAGGGAGAACAGCTGAATAAATCATGATATTAATGTAACGGTGCCACAAAAATCCATAAAAAGAAATGGGGATGTAAGACAAGTAATGCAAAGTAGGATCAGCAAAATATAAACCACATACAAAATTACTACAATGAGATATGAAAACCAAAAATAAAGGCAATAGAGCATTATGAATATGGATTTGGAAGGGGATACTAAGCAAACAGATCTTTGTTTTTATTTTGTTAAATGCACAGTATGATTTTTTTTCCTATCAATTAAGATGCGGAAAGTAATTATTTTCAGATTTCATTGGGCTATTTCACATTCAGTTTGCTATGAATAAGTTCATAATTACTTTTTAAAAGATTCAAAGGGCTCACTGAATTTGCCAGAAACATTAAAGAGGGAGCAGTCTCTCCCACCCAGCAGTCTCATGCTCACCAGTCTTTCCTTGGATAAGTGAAGGAGGGAAGACAAACCTAAATCCTCAGGCTACGTTGAGGCTGCTTTGCAGCCAGTACAAACGGACAGATATAATCAACATACTATTGCCCCAAGCAGTGTTGTGGCACAAGCACCCTGGTGACATGGTGAACCCCACCAGAAAATCCTGAAACTCCCCCGCCTGGCCACTGAGCTGACGGCACATTCATGACATGTACTGTGTTAATCAGAAGACAGGCTGTATCTCTTAAATGATATTTCTTGGAAAGAATAAAACCGGTTTAGTTGTGCACTGAGAAAATAACACTAATTATAGATTGTACTTGATAAAAGTCAGATATGAGAAAAAAAAGAATGACCACATTCAGATCGACACAGGATACTATTAATCTTACAGCTTTAGCCCCCTGACCTCATAAAATCATTTCACATTTGCTGAGATGGGAATGTAAAAAGAACGCTGAGTTGGGAACCTGGGCTTTCATTTATAACTCCTCCCACTGGAAGTGAGCACACCATCCCAGTGGCAGCAATGGCATCAGACTGGTGTCCCCACAAACCTCCGAGCATCTCTGAAGAAGCCGCAGCCAGCTGAACTTTGGCAGGTTCCCACTCTCACCTAACGGAGGGCCAAGCTATGGAGCATCAATGTGGGGAGCTACCTGGAAGGCCAAGGGGCCGGCTCCTAGCCAGTCCAGCCAGGCCCTCCCTTATCATGGCTTCTTGCACATGGCTCTCGGCCACACCTTCCCCAGATGGCCCTCACCTGACCTGGATGACCTTTACCTGGACTTCCACAGGATCTTCGGTCTGGGCCTCTTCCGTGTCCAGCAACTCAATAGTCATGATCACCTGCCCTTTCCTCTGAAGAAACATCACCTAGAAGAGTGTAATACAAGCACACTTTACTACCTGAGGATGGTGAGCAAGAAGACACTTTGCCCATAAGCAGACTCAGGGAGCTAGTCTCACAACACTCCTGACTCACCATAAAAACGAAGCCTTTTCCGACATGGTTCCCAAACTCTGAGACGAGTTAGGAATCTGAAGCACAAAAGTGTTTGGAAACATAAAATGTCAGGGCTGGAAGAGAGCTTAAACGTCATTTGGTCCAACCTATACCAAAGCAAGAGGCCCCTTTACAACACCAGTGGCATGGGCATCTCCAACATCATGCTCCCAACAATGCACAGCTCACCGTCTCACGAGGAGTCCAGAGTCCAAGGTTGGACATCCAAAATCATGAACCGACAACTATCTTCCTCTAACTCTTTTTAAAATAAATTGTCTCAAGTCTTCTCATTTTTATATCACAGTCATCTCCGGATAAACCATTTTTTGTACATGCCCTACCTTAGAGATAAACAAGGTAAACTCGCTGTTCCCCAAGCACCCCATGCCATCTGGGCACTCCTGCTGGCCATCCCCAGCAGTTGCATTGCCCTTCCTCTGCTGGGGGACCTTTCAGAATCCCTCAAGGTCCCACTCAGATACTCTTTCCCATGGAGTCTTTCCTGAACAGAAAGTATCCCACCAGCTAAAAGAATCCCCCTCGTTGCCTCACCTACTCAAAGTTTCCTAGGGCTCTCCTTTGCCTTCATCATACCCTACTGCACAGCGTACCAATAGGTGAGCGTAACAGACTCCTAGCACAACCCAAGCTGCAGAAGAGCAGGGACTTTGCCATGTTTTATCTCTGTATCCTTGGCACCCAGCATGCCTTGTACACAGTAAGCCCTGGATAAATGTCTGCCGAATGAATGAATCAATCGATCATTCGTGACTGCTCCTATTCTCTAAATCGTTTGAGGGGAATGGAGGTGAGGGAATATGCATGTACACATTACTATGTGCCAGGTACTATGCTAAGAGCTTTACATATATTATCTCATTTGATCCTCACAACAACCCTGGGAAATAGGTGATACCATTATCCCTATTTTTTATAGTTGAGGAAACTGAGGCTGACAGAGGTTAAGTGACTTTACCAGAGTCACATACTTATTTGTGAATGTCAAACTACAAATTGCTAGGAAGCTAGTAATTTGAACTCAGGTCTTCCTGACTCCAGTGCTCTCTCCACTCTGCCACCCAGCTGCCTTCAAGCACTTGCTTCAAAATATCTCGAGGAACAGCATATTATTTTCCTCATTTAACAAGCAGAAAATGAAGCCCAGAAAAAAAACAAAATGCTCAGCTACTGTAGTGCCCACAGTCACATCCTGTAAGTGGCAGAGCCAGGCCCCAAGCACTCCACTGCACCACACCAGTCTTACAGGTGTCCCCATCCTCAGCATGGGTCCCCTTGGCAGCTCTCTGGGGATACTGCAAGTGGCCAAGGGATCAGTGAATGCGCTGCTCTAAATGCCTGGGACAGTGCAGTCAGCAGGACAGGAGAGCATGCTCTCTGAACACGCAGGGCCCAGGTTCAATCCCTGGCACTTCCAGTTTCTGTCCTAAGAGAAGGAGTGCGAGCTCAAGGATGAATGTTGGTTCTGGTGTCACAGACCAGGGTTCAGATCCTGCCTATGCCACTGGCTCTGGGATGTGAGGCAAGTTGCTTACCCTCCTTGGCCTCAGTTTCCTCAGCTATAAAATGAGGGGGCTAATGCCATCGTTGCCTTTTCTGAAATTGGTTCCTCACCTTGAAACAGTTCTCATCGGCCATGCACCGCTCTGCCTTCCACTGGTAACTCGTCTCCTTGGCTGCACGGACACAGCGGGAGGACAAGTTCCCACCAGCTGCGCCTCGTTTCTTCTCACTGAGGTAGAGTTCCACCACTTTTAGACAAATGTCATCACTCACCAGGTGATGAAGCTGTGGGGTTAGAACAAGCACAACTGAGTACACACTTGCTTTACTGATTCCTGTGTCTCATACTCCCTAAGGAGATTTTTTGGAAAGTTAAAGGGAAAGAGAAAAGACGGACAGCCTGTGTGTAGATCACAGTTGTAGCACTTTGTCCATGGGAAGCCTTCTTCTGGAATCATACCTTATTTGCCCAAAGTGTCAAATGGGATAGAAAGAAGCAATCTGAACTGAGTTCACAGCATTCAAGTCAAGAACCAAGCCCGGGGCTCTGGTCTCCCTAACTCCTATTTTACTGGTTAGTCCCCATAGGCTCCTTTGAACTTGTGGCCCACAATGCCAGAAAGGCCCCCAACAGGGCCACCCTGGTAGGGTAGAGAGCTTGAGCAGGTGAAGGGCAGAGCTGGGCTGACTTAAGAAAGACCTCTGTGGGGCACATGCCTGCAGGCACATAAAAGAGGGACTAGGACAGCCCCCCACAAAGCTGCTGAGCCCCTTTTCTTTTCCCAACACTCACCTGCCGCACGATGTTCTGTACCAGCTTGTCCATAGTGAAGCCGATGTAGGCATGAATAGTAAACATCTCCCGAAGGGTGTCCTCATACTGCGTGGGATCAATGTTGCCCTCTAGTAAACTCCTTACCATGTCCAAAAATGCTGGGTAATATTCCTCCAGTTCCACCTCACCTAATTAAGAGACAGAATTCTTAATTCTTTCAAAGTCATCCAGAGGAGAAGAGAACATCACTAACAGATTAACAAAAGCATCCATGAAGAATCATCTCTGAAACTCAAGGGATTTATTTCTGCATCCAATGGTTCTGGGCCAGAGAGGGATTATCTCTGATGGCACTGAGTCACAAGCTTACAACACTTATTCTAAGAAAGCTGACAACTACTGAGTGACCACAACGAAAAGATTTCTGGAAGCAAACTGACAAAGTGTCTATGTCTAGATGCCTCAGTGTCACATACACAATACTTCAAGAACCAGTGGTTTCATTAGTGAGATTACTCCTTCCACCAATGCAGATCACAACTCCTCTATGTCCAGAGGAAAGGTTTTATGCATTCTCAAGACAAATAGCCACTGCTTGGCAGCCAAGATTCAGGGGATTAAGGCTCTCCAACACTTCATTAGGCTGGTCACTAGATAAAGATCCACACAAAGGTCACTGCCAGGCCCTACTCAAGGCCCTCACAGCTGGCTGGGGACTCGTCCCAGATGACGGTGGCAGCTAGCTGGCACAGCCTCCAAAGCTGAGCTGGGGCCACGCCTGCCACACGGGGGCAGCAGCAACAGAAGAGTGTCTGGGAGGGAATCGATACAAAGAACAAAAGCAAGACATCTCACCCAACCACCATCTGTTATCAACTGGGGACCATGGAAAAAGATACAAATGACAACCAACACCAATGTGGTTGAGGGACTGCGGTCAGTGCGCATCCTAATTGGGTCTTGACTCCCACACTCACAAGCTCACCGAGTGACTGCACGAATCGAGTCCCTTCTTGGAGCCTTCTTACACCCTCCGTCACACAGCAATAATGCTGCCTCGTCCCTACCTCACGGGGCGGAGTGAGAACAGCTTTGTAGGTTGTGGAGTGCTACGCACGAAGGCGATCGATCACTCCACGTGCTCCAGTCCCCAGACAAATGTCCCTTTCCTATACCACATGCAACCACAGCCCAGGGCTTTGCACTATGGCTCTGAAGAGACCAAAAATATGCTAGCAAAATAGGCTTCCCTTATTTCAGAGTATGCGGGATACAAGCTGAGAAACTGAGCTTTGGCCCCTTGGCCACAGTGCTGTCCCAGAGCTGGTAACATCACAGGCATCAACACCAAGGGCGCCCCAGGAGATCCCCACTGAGAGGGTGTGGAGGGCCCCTTAACAGGCTAGCTGAGCCGTGCTTACTTGGCTGCTTCAGCCGCAGCTCCATCGCAGGGTCATTGGATTTCTCCTTCCTCCCTTCACAGAGGAGTTTCTCTCTCTCCTTCTCAGTCCGATATTCTAAGAGCTGTTTCTGGGCCTGCCGGTAAATCTTTAAGAGCCTTGAACACAGAGTCTGGTGAAGGCGCAGGAAAAAATACCAGTTGTTGTTGGCAAAGAAAAGGCTGTAAACATCGTCCAGGGCCCCAGGCTGCTCAGGGGCTGCAGCAGCAGCAGCACACGAGCCACCCTTTTCGTCCAAGGGGCTGCTCTGTGGGAGAGACGCAGATTTTTTCCAGAGGTCGGCAGTGTCCAAATTCTGTCCCTGACTGTGTTCTCGGTCTTCATCTGTCGACTCCTCAGAAATGCCAAGATCTGAAAGCTGGGAAAAGAACAAGCTGGGCACAAAGTGGTGCACTATCTGCTGAATGGTGCCCTGATCTTCCTTCTGGATTGTCGGCTGCCTCTTCACGTAGTAGCTAATGAGTGAGGCTGCGTCCTCCAGGATCTGCTTGTCTTCGTAGACAAAAACAAGATGGGGCTCATTAGTCGGGGCGCTCCGGCCCTCCGAATGTTGTTCCTGGTGCTGCAACAGGGGAGAAATGTCACTAGAGAGAACACAATGTTTTCCCAATCAATAGTATTATTATTAGAAGTAGTGAAAAGTGTTAAGTTTTGTTGTGTTTTTTTTTTTTTAAAGGAGGCCACATGGTGTGACGGGTGGTCCAAATCCCAGTTTAGCAAATAATTAGCTGTGACACCTTGGACGAGTTTCTCTAGCCCCCCATATCAGTTTCCCCATTTGTAAAATAAGGGATGGAGTAGTTTACTGTAAGGTTCCTTGAAGCTTGGCTGTTTCACACTCAATAAGGCCCATTCCAGTGCTGACATTTCATATTCTAAGGCCCCTCTTTGCCCTGACATTCTGTATTTTAAAGTCCTCCCAGCTCTGACATTCTGTGTTCTAAGGGTCCTCCCAGCTTTGATAGTAGCAATATAAGAACTTAATGGAAAAGTCATCAATAACACCAAAGAATCCCACAACCCTAATTTCCCTCTAGAAAATTAGGTCCTTTGCAAACTAGGCCTATTTAGTTTAAAAGAGAAAAACATGAGTCTAAAATCAAAGATTCTTTAGAGATAATATTTCAGAGACTTAGTGTAACCCAGCATTTCAGAGATGAGGCCTCTAGTGAGGTGACTCATCCAAGGCAATAAAGGGAGCACATGGTGGGGTCAGGACTGAATCAGGCTTTGTATCACTACGACCCTCAGATTCTAATCACATTACTATCAGAGTTGCTTATGACTCCTTTGTGCTACCTGGTAATTCCCAGCATAATAAACACAATCCATGACAACATGATTACCAGAAGAAATCCTTTAAAACCCTAGCACCATATAGCCTTGATTATACAAAGGACATAGGGGTGGGTGTGAGGTGGGGGATGGAAGCGTCAGCATGAAATCATCTGATAATACAACTGGTACATTAAAATTTCTATAGTACTTTCTACACAACTCTGTGAAACAGACAATTCAAGCATTATTATCCCCACTCCCAAAGGAGGAAACTGAGGCCCACAAAAATGAACTGATATGCCTAAGGTCCCAAGGCTGTTTAGTGGCAGAGTCAGGAATCCACGCAGATGTTCTGACTCCAAGTCTGGTATTCTTTCCACTCTAACAAGCTGCCTTGGGAGGTACCTGTCTAAAGCACAAGAGGATTGCATGTCCTGCCCAAGTAAGACACAGTTAAAGCGAGAGTTTTAATGCATGGTACACTTAATGAAACCAACACCTGGTTTGACTTAAAGAGCAAAATAAATCATAATTAAACATGAAAAGTAGAGAACTTATAACTTCTTGGAATCATATTTCCATATGTTTCTAAATTCTAGCTGTGGAAGGCCATCTACCTGCTCTTCAACAGCCCTGCTCTTCCTGTGACCATTTGTCCTATCTTCAAATTCTTCCAGAACTAGATGCCATCAGCGTGACGTCTCCCATCCAAAGGAGAGCCTCCAACTTGTCTGTAATTTAGTAGATAGTCCTAATGAGATGTTGTAGCCAAAACTGCAATAGCCTTGGTGATGGCCAATTCAACCTAGCTAGACTAACGTTCACATGACACATTAGGCCCTTACATATCTTCAAAACCTTCCTTAAAAATTAATCTTGAGGGTGGGGGGGCAGCTAGGTATAGGTAGTGAGTCAGGAGGACCTGAGTTCAAATTCAGCCTCAGACACACAGCACTCATTAGCTGTGTGACTGTGGGCAAGTCACTTAATCCCAATTGCCTCGCCAAAAAAAAAAAAAATTAATCTCTTAAAGAATCTCTGTCAAATTTCTATTTTATCTGTCTGTGTGACTATCACAAGCTCGAAGAAGATTCACTTCTTAGGTATTAAAAAAAATTCTCAATGCTCTGCCACATGGCTGCCCAAGCCAAAAGTAAGCATATGACATGAAACCTCCAGTGCAGGTTGAGACCAGGAGCACTGAGGACATTGGAAAGGGCACTGACATGTAGTGTCAGCAGCTTCAAGTCTGAGGACCTGTCACTAACAGGCTGTGACCCTGGCAAATCACTTCACTTTAGGGCCTTTGCACCTTCATTTATTAAGGGCCCAGGAATGCAATGATCCCTTCCAATTTGAGCATTCCATGTTCCAAAGTTTCTCTCACCTCTGATATTCTGTGATTTATGTTCCAGAGTTCCGTCCAGCTTGGACACACCATGTTCTAAAGTCTCTTCTAGCTCTAACACCCTATGATTTACTGAAAGAAGGCATCTGGTCTCCTCTTACGTCCGAGCAAATCTTACCTCATCATAAACACTTTCAATTTCATTCAGCAAACTTTTTGATCGAAGTGCTTTAGTATCATTTTGCTTAAAATTAACAGCCTGATGGTCAAGAGACTTTAAATAAGCCTTCTCATACTGCTCCCGCCAGATTTTATTGAAGCCTTGCTGGGCTTCTCTCCATTCCTCCTCTTTTGCTTTTAGCCTGTGAGATATAAGCAATGTTCATTTACCAAGAAAACACAGGGCACATTATTCAAACCCATTACATTACTGTAATATTTCTACCACCTTTCTGGTGCAAATCTTAACTCAAATGTGTGGATTAATTTATGGCACTGTTAAATTGCTTGGGTGAAAGAAATGATACCTTCCTTTCTGCCCTCTTTAGCCCCAAACTGGGAAGCCAGGGTGATGAGTTCCCCAATCTCCCTAAGCCACAGCAATGGAAAAACAGACAATACCTTTTTAGCACTACAGGAACAGCAGTCACTGGATTCTTCTTCAGACTTTCAATGATTTCTGGGGCTTTATCGCCATAAATTCGGTAGATTGCTCGCCGCTGGATGACTTCAGATGTCCCTCCCAGGCAGTCATCTAATCGGAATTTTTCCTGATCTTCTGGAGACATTCTGGAGAGTTTTTTCTGCACACTCTCTAATACTCGGATGGTGGCAAGGTTGGTCTCCAAGACGACATCTAACTATTGAAATAAATTCAGTTCAATGGATATTGATTAAGCACCTACCCTCTGTATAAGGTGCTAGATAGTGCAGTGGATAGAGCACTGGGCCTGAAGTCAGGAAGATCTGAGTTCAAATCCAACCTCAGAGACACACACTAGTTGTGTGACCCTGGGCAAGTCGCTTCACCCTGTTTGCCTCAGTTGCTTATCTATAAATGAGCTGGAGAAGGAAATGGCTAACCACTCCAGTATCTTTGCCAAGAAAACCCCAAAAAGGGACCACAGAAGAGTTGGACATGACTGAGAAATGACTAAACCACAATTGCGTATATGGCCCAAGGCAGACAAAGGAAAAACAGTCCCTGCCTTTAAGGAGCCTGTATTTTTACTAAGGGGATGCAACATACACAAAACTAAATTAATACAAGGTAACGCAAATTAATTTCAAAAGGGAGGAAATGCTAACAACTGGGGGAACAAGAAAAGCCTCACGTAGGAGGGGAAACCTGACAAATGCCTGAAGGGAACTCAAGACTGTACAAGATGGAGGACAGGAGGAAGAGCATTCCAGACAGGAATCAGCACACGTGCAGAAGCAGAGAGACGAAGGTGGGATTTGGAGGGAGCCGGCTCATCTGACCGTAGGGAGCGCTGGGGGAGGCGCAGCTCCCAGGAAGAGGGGAGCACTAGCGCACATCGTATCTGCTCTGCGGTGCCAGCATCAGTCCTGGACAGCACAGTATGAGGACACTGACAAGGCAAAGACCGTAGAGAGGAGTGTAACCAAGAGGGTGAGAGGCCCCCAACAAGCCCATTTCATGGGAGAATAAGTTGGGGGAACAAAATCCCTTCCAACTCTCAAACTCTGTGATTATGGGACATGGGGAATAGCTAATTGGCTAGTCTGACTAGCATGAAGACCGTGTGAAGGAAAATAGTAAGAAACAAGAACGGAAAAGTAGGTGGGAGCCTGGTTGTGCGGGGCTTTAAAATCTAAGTTGAAGATCTCATATTTTATCCTAGAGGCCCCATGGAGCCAGTGAAGATTTCTTAATAAGGGAAATTAAATGGTCAGATCTTTACTTTAGGAATATCAACTTGGCACCTATCTGGAAGATGGAATAGAGAGGGAAGAAACTAGGAAGTTATTCTAAGCATACAATTTTTCACTTTTTTTTTTCATGGTTTTTTTTTGGGGGGGGTCTGTGTTTTCTTTCACAACATGACTAATATGGAAATGTTTTGCATGACTGCACATGCATAACCTATATCAAATTGCTTACTATCTCAGGGAGGGGGGAGGAAAGAGAGGAACAAAATCTGGAGCTCAAAATTTTTAAAAACGAATGTTAAAAATTGTTTTTACATGTAATTGGGAAGGAAGAGGGCGGGGCAGCTAGGTGGCACAGTGGATAGAGGAACAGCCCTGGAGTCAGGAGGACCTGAGTTCAAATCCAGCCTCAGACATATAACACACACTAGCTGTGTGACTCTGGGCAAGTCATTTAACTCCAAACCACACCCCCCCCCCAAAAATAAAGGAGAGGAGAGGGTCTTGGAAGTCATCTAGTCCTACTGAACTTAAGATTGCTGAAATACCTCCAGTGACAGGGAACTCATCATACCATATGGCAGCCCATTTCATCACCACCAACTTTAGGAGGTCCTTATTTACAGTTAGCTACCATCTGCCTTTGCAATTTCACTGATGCTAACTCAACTCCCAGCAGAAAAAGGTCCAACAGCCACACCACACAATAAGTCCCTTAATTATATGGCAGCAACCCTTCTCCAGTCGAAATATCCCTTATTCCTTCAGTCAATCCTCACATCTCAAGAAAAGTATCCAAAAACAGCAAATCATTGGAATCATTTTTTTTCAGCTACCACATTCACTCTGGACACATGGTTTATAATACTGAGAAGCAGGACAACTTGTCTACAATCACATAAGCAGCCCTCTAGAAAACATTCAGCTTCCTGGCAGGGACTCCCAAAGACAAAATTGCTTGCCTCCCAACGTCCATGAAGTCCTAAAAGTCATATCTGAAAGAGCACAAAGTCTGTCAGTCTTTAGATTCAATAAGAGTATTCAAACTGGCATTTAATGGGCTTGCAGGTAGGCCATGGTTCTTTCAGAATGACAGAGAGGAAATACACGACCACACAGAAACCTCTGCTCTCTGAGTTACTCAGTGGTGGAGGGCGGCAGCCACAACAGTCCAATGTGGCCCCGGGCTGTACAGAAGTGGGGACTCCGCTCTTCTCTCTGCTCTGTGCACATCTGGAATGTAATGTTCAGCTCTGGGTAGCACATCTGTGGAGGGACATTAACTTGACACACTATGTCCAGAGGAAGGGAACCAGTGTAAAAGGAAAATACAAATTATGTCATTTGGCTGAATATACTGAGGATACTGACCCTGGAAAAAGCTGCAGCAACAGGAGGGAGACATGATAACTAGGTCTTCAAATAGCTGAACAATTACTGTATGGAAAAGGGATTAGCCTTGTTCTCTTTGGCGCCAGAATACAACCAGGACCAATGGGTTAGACAGAGATTTTGTTTTAATATGAGGAAAATCTCAGTAAGAGTACAGTAGATAGCCTTGGAAGGTAGTGAGTGTGCCATCTCTGGGGAACTTCAGATAGAAGCTGGATGAGGTTGGATAAGAGGCCCTCTCTGAACCTCTGAACTCGGAAACTATCAAAACCGGCTATTGATGGAAGAGGCTGCCTCATGAGCAAATGAGCTTTACATTACTGGAGGAGGTACTGAAGCAGAGAATGGACGATCACCACTGGAGATGTTCCAGAAGGGATTCATGTTTCCACTAAAAACTGAAGCAAATTGTCTCTACAGTTCCCAACTCCCTCTGGGATTTGATGATTTGAAAGGAGAATGGACGGGTGAAACTGACAGAAGAAGGTTAGCAAAAGGATGAACACTCCTAAACTAAGAACAAAATAAAACAAAATTAAAATATCAGCTGTAAAACTGTTATGACTCTTCATCAAGGACACTAAAAGAATCAATCAGTTCAACCTCTACAATGGAATCTCTAACACCATCTGACTGCCACAGGGATGCTGGGTAGGAGTAATCAAAGCACCATGATATCAAAAGGGTAAAAAACAGCACAACAAACACACCTCAAACCGTTCGTCCTCACAGCGATGCAGTTGCTCCTCATATGGAGTTTTTTTTGAACTGACAAAAGTAGAGTCTTCAGACCAGGATGGAAAGGACACCCAGGTATCATTTAAAACCTATGACAAAAGAGAAAAATCCAACATTACATAAAGCTTGTACTTCTCCCATCTAAGCCACAACAATGACTCTGTCTCATTGGTTCCCCAGAATTCTGAAAAAGGCCACGGTAAATGTCCTTAAAATGAAGTAGCAAAAATCGCCACATGGGCGGCAAGTACCTCCTTGCATATGGCTGTCCTGCCACTGCACTTTGGCTGTTGATAAGTTTTGGGGAGTGCCCGGTAACTAGATCCTATGCGCTTGCAAGATGCGTAGTCAATTTCCCGACCAATTCCATCCCCCGATCGATCACTCATGGGTGGTGCAAACGAAAGCTCTTTTACTCCCAAGAAGGACTTGAATTGGGCGAAGAGTTCTGGAAATTTTCTTCAAAAGTTAAAGGCATACTGTAAGTCCACATAGTCACAGCCTTCCCAAAGAGGTTTACGTAGTGTGAATAAAGTAGGTGCTCAGTAAGTGTTTAGTAAATGAACACAGGAGGCTTGATCCTATCTCTAGCTCAGGGGTTCTTAACCTTTTTAGAGTAATGAACCCTTCTGGAAGTCTGGTGAAACCTATGAACTCCTCAGAATGTTCTTTTTAAATGCATTTAAAATGCAAGGGATTTAAATGCATAAAATACATAGCATTATAGAGGGTACTAGTTATGTTGAAATATAGTTATTAAAATATTAAAAAGAAAAGTTACAGGGCCTAGGTTTAAGAACTCTCTATTCTAGCTATTACTGACAGAATCAGCAACTTAGTTATACAACATTAGCCTATACATAAGTTGGCAATTTTTTTGTCATATCTGGCTTGTGCATAACTTGGGTGTTGCCTGTAATTGTTATTTTTCAGTGTATAACTTCGTATTGCTAATTCCTTTCAGATATATCATCTAGTTCTCTAGAGTTGGCCTATATTTGGACAAATATGGTCTGTACCTATCACATACCCCATACCATCTTTCAACTCTAAATACTCAGACCTGAAATCAATGCTACATATTTGATTCTTATACCAGCAATGTTAATGACATAAAGTGGGCTATATTTCTGGCAAAGTTTTTCACATGGTTATCCTATTTTCAGACTGTTACTGTCTGAAGTAGATATATTATTCATGCTGATCAATATTAAACATCTATTATGTGCAAAGCAGTGGGGGAAAGACAAAGTTCCAGGAAGATAAGACCTCTCCCCTTTATCCCCACCCCAACCCCATCTCATGATGGCAGGCAATGGGGGTATGAGACATAAAATAAAATCATTAGGCAGTGGAATGCAAAGTCTGAAAATAAGATTCCAGTTACATGCCATTGACCATACAGTGTGTGGTGCGGAGGCAAGACAGCTAGGCAGAGTGGTATACTGGGAAGCCAGGAAGACTCAGGCTCAAGACTCATCTTGGCTGTTTACTACCTTTGGCAGAAACGTGACACGTCAATATACAATCTGTTAAATTACACTATACTGATGTGATAGGCTTGCGCTTTCCCCCCCTAAAATCTGGCATACAGAAGGTAAAGCATGAGTACAGCTTATAATTAGTGTTACTTTTCACTGTGTGGCTTCATTTTTGTTTTCCTTTATGAATATTTTGTTTGAATGATGTTGCCCCTACTTGGACTATGCATTTTTAATTTAATAACTTTTTATTGATGTATTTTGTATTTTTACATCATGACAGTTTTCCCCAGTATCACTTCTCTCTCCCTCCCAGAGAACCATCCCATATAACAAATAGTATTTTTTAAAGAGAAGAGAAAAACAGGGAAAATATCAGTGTAATTAATCAACAGAATGAAAAAATCTGAAAATACAATTAAGGACTCTACATCTCTGCCAAGAAGACACTTCCATTGAAAGTATCTTTTCATATCTCTTCTTTTAAGCTAGGTTTGTTTAAAATTTTGCAAAATCTGCTTTTAACTTTTTGTATGTGGCTATTTTGTTTATATCTTTGTCGTCATTGTGTATTTCCTTGGCTGTTGCATTCTGTATCAGTTCATGTAAATCTGTCCATGCTTCTCTATATTGGTCACATTCTTCATTTCTTTCTTTTTTTTTTAAGGCAACTGGGGTTAAGTGACTTGCCCAGGGTCACACAGCTAGTAAGTGTCAAGTGTTTGGTCTGACACCAGATTTGAACTCAGGTACTCCTGACTTTAGGGCCAGCGCTCTATCCACTGCGCCACCTAGCTGCCCCCATTCTTCATTTCTTACAGCACATCATTTTCCATTATATTCACATAACCATTAATTGTTTACCGATTTCCAAATAAATGGACATCTACTGTGTTTCCAATTCTTTGCTATCAAAGGAAGTGCTGCTATGAATACTGTGGAGTATATGGGAGCTTTATCAATGACCTCCTTAGGATATAAAGCCAGTAATGGAATCTCTGGGTCAAAAGGTATGGTTGTCTTAGTCCAGGGCTGGAAAACTTGCAGCCTCCAGGCCACATGTGGCCCTTTCGGTCCTCAAGTGCAGCCCTTTCACCGAATCCAAACTTCACTGAACAAACCCCCTTCATTAAAAGATTTGTTCTGCAAAACTTGGTCTCAATCAAAAGACCGCACCCAAGGACCTAGAAGGTCACATATGGCCTTGAGGTTGCAGGTTCCTCACTCATTTTAGTCACTTTATTTGCACAATTCCAAACTGCGACCCAAAATGTTTGCATGTATTTATAGCTCCATCAAAAATGCACTGGTGTGCCAATCTTCCCATAACCCCTGCAACAATGACTACGTTATTTCCATCTTTGCCAATTATCATAGTGTTACGTGAAACTTCAAGGTTGTTTTTATTTGCATTTATCTTATGATTAGTGATTTTAAGTATTCTTTTATGTGCTTTTCACTGTTTACAATTTTTTTGAGAACTGTTCATATCGTATGACTTCTAATGTACCGGGGCTTTCTGTCTTTTACTGTTACACACACACACACACACACACACACACACACACACACACACACACA